CACTTCTGCTGCGCGCGAGGCTGAAACTGCTGATCAAACGACTCAACGGCCAAGGAGAAATACCTCTTCAACTGCTGCTGCGCGCATGGCTGAAACTGCTGATCAAACGACTCAACGGCCGAGGAGAAACACCTCTTCCACTTCTGTTGCGCGCGTGGCTGAAACTGCTGATTAAACGACTCAACGACCGAGGAGAAACACCTCTTCCACTTCTGCTGCGCGCGAGGCTGAATCTGCTGATCAAACGACTCAACGGCCGAAGATAAATACCTTTTCAACTGCTGCTGCGCGCGTGGCTGAAACTGCTGATCAAACGACTCAATGGCTGAGGAGAAACACCTCTTCCACTTCTGCTGCGCGCGAGGCTGAAACTGCTGATCAAACGACTCAACGGCCGAGGAGAAACACCTCTTCCACTTCTGCTGTGCGCGTGGCTGAAACTGCTGATCAAACGACTCAACGGCCGAGGAGAAACACCTCTTCCACTTCTGCTGCGCGCGAGGCTGAAACTTCTGATCAAACGACTCAATGGCTGAGGAGAAACGCCTCCTCAATTGCTGATGTGCGCGAGGCCTCAACAAGCTTGAGAACACAAAAACGGCACTTCTCAGGGCCACTCCCCCATTCGAATTGTTAACCTCCCCATTTGGGGATGTGCCTCAGTTGCACCTAATTGTTACTAATATTGATTTTGGGATGGATGATTTTAATTTCAAACTGCTCTAATTGAACAGTAAAATTCCTAGTAATAAAAGACCTGGTCGAAGTCAGGGTTATACTGCTAGTTTGAAAATATAATTCAACACAATTAGAATACACCTTTTGTTGTTTTGTGAAAAATAAATGCAAAAACATTTATACTTTGATTGACATATACATATGCGATTCATACATTTACATAGTTTTGAATTTAATATTCAAATTAAACTGTTTTGCACTCGATTCAACCAATTTGACATTTTCTTGTGTATATCAAAACGAAAAAATTAGCTTAAAAATGAACTCTTTTGCAAACAAATATTCAACATTTTTTTTACTTTATTAGTATCTAAAAGATATACAGAAATCCAAAATACGAAAAGGTCTTACTATTCCTTAAATTTTTATTTAATTTGAATAAAAATACACAGGCTTTTCTAAGTTTACATCCATGAAACCCCTTGGAGCGGGAAAATTCCTCCTTGGAGGGGTGTACACATTCGGATACTTACCGGTCACAGGGCTCCGTGCCTGTGCTGGTGGTATCACAGCTATGACTAGCTTGGACTGTCTCTGACCAGTTTGGACTGGCTATGATAAGCCAAGACCAGCTATGACTAGCTTAGACCAGCTATGATTAGATTGGACCAGCTATGAGCAGCTTGAACAAGCTATGACCTGCATAGACCAGCTTATACCAGCGGCCCAAGTGAAAACACTCGGGTCCCCACGTTAAAAACTGACCTTGTGTCACAACCTGACTAAGTTGGTTGGTGGGGGATTGGTTTGGTCAGTAAATCTCGATCCATGAAACCTCTTTAAAAAAAACATCTATCCATTTTCCTTCCAGGAAATGTACATGCGAATATTTTGTCGGTAATTTAATTTTAATTTTTCTCCTTTTTGCGTGTTACTCAATTTCCTTTCTCCTCTAAATATTTTCTACTTATAATTTTTTTATATTCCACTTTTATTTTCATTTTCTGGTATTTTTGTTTCTTTCTCTTCGCTGACTATTGCTATCTTGGGCGTTTCCATGGCGTTTATCAGGTTTTCTATTTCTATTTCTGTGACACTGGCGTCAGTAATTTTCACGCCTTTTGCATCACATAGAAGATGTTTTAGCGTGCATTTTTCTTGAAGAGCATTCCTTCTAATCCGAGAAAAACAGCCCTGAATGATTTGTGCCAGTTTTAATATGCATACATACTCCTCTGAGCTTTGCAGGGTCATTTGAATATTTCATAGGAAATATGCCTTGAGAGACTCTTTTATTCTCTCATATTCTACCGGAAACTCCACGCCTTTTACGAGTTGCCTTGCACCAGTTCCTTTTTTATTTGTCTGTAAAGCTGTGGTCGTTATGATGGTCAAACATAGTAGCCGTAGATTTTCTATGTACATTGACTCGAAGTTGCACGTCAGCTATAGATACAGCTCTATTTATGCTAATTACCTATTAGCTAAACCAATCCCATTACAGAGGTAAATATCATAAACTTATAAACAGAATAATGAAGGAGCGTTGCCTTTTTATTCTTGTTCTTGCGAAGGATCTTCTCTGTGAGTGGCTCGGCTTGTTGCGCTTTTTCTAGTCTTGGGCTCCTAGCGGCGAGTTACCCCAGAGTTTTCGCTTACCTGGCGACTGATTCGGAACGTGCTATCCCTCAATGACAGGTTCTTCAGATGGGGCTGGGCGGATTTCCCCGGCTGTCATCGGTGTGACCTTGGGTTAGAAGAAAAACAGTTTCACACGCCTTCTTCCATTGTCCTCAGGTGCGCCCACTCTGGGATTATGCCGGCGTGTCAACGGCTCGTATCGCTCGCGATTTTCTCGTGCTCATTAATCTCGCATACTTGTGCGATAATGTGTCGCCCCCGTTTTCTGGGAAGAAACGAATGGTTATTCTGACGCTGCTAGCTGTGGCGCGAATTGTGATTTGGACGTCGCGGATGGATGGAATCTTGCGATACGAACGTTATTCTCATCAGGCTCTGGTTAGATTCTTTCAGCATCAGCTGAAAGTGGAGATCAGAACTGATAGAAAGCGTTTGATATCGACAGATTTCAACGAAAGGTGGGTGAAAGTAGCGAGCCTGGTTTGTGTGAAAGGGACTAACACTGAGTTTCTTTTTTAAGTACACTTGGTCGCAACGGGGCGGTTTCCTGTGATCCCTACCCACTGCTTAAGCTAGACACACTTGGTTTTCCTAGTTAATGTGAATAAGTGTTGCTCCTGGACTGTTCCTGGAACTCTTTTGTTATGATCCATGTCGAGATTCCCAACCTCCCCAGTTTGTTTTGGGTCCCCGTTTTCATGTCGTCTGGATCAGACTTTATTTTTCCCATTCCGTCATTTATTTTTACGCTCCCCATGTCGTTAGTGAGTATGCTACTTCATTCTGTCTATCGGCAGAATACAGCAGCGATTCTGATTATTTTGAGGGATGGACGGGTTCTAGTAGCATCTGTTTTGTTTTAGTTTGTTTTTGTTCCAATTTTAGTTTGTTTTCGGGGTTCACCCCACCTCACTTCATGTTTCATGAAATTCTTATATATTTTATAATTATGCTTTTGGAAATTTTTATATCCTGGGGTGTTTTTGTAGGTTCCCCCCGGTGAGTATGTGGTATATGAAGGATTCAATGGTGATGAATGAGTAAATGGATCAATTGTATTGGATGAATTGGTCATAGTGATTAACTAGGAATAGGATAGTTATCGAAGACCAGCCTCTCCCCACTTCCACTTTCGGCCTTGTGTCACAAGTATTGTATAATTATACAGTGATAAATATATTTATTCTTGTTCTTTTCGATGTCTAACGCACAGAGCCATTTTTTCCATTAATTTTTGTCATCTCGTGCACGTGGTGTGTTCGTCGTTGCACGCTGGAAATGTGTGTAGGGCATTCTGTTAAATTCCTTTTTGTGTAATTTTTCAATAAAATTAGCCCTTTTTGAATGTTTCTCGGTTATCCTCATCGCCAAAATGTAGTGTCTTACAGCTTGTGAAAGACAAATGCAGTAGAGGCCCGTTAAGCATACCAAAAACATCCACTCCCAAATCTTACATCTCGCGTTTGTTCTATTTTTTTTTATTAGAAAGGAACCTCTGTTCTCGATCGTCAATGATGTCACTAAATCACATTGACTGTCATCTTCAAGCATTGCTCGCTTGAGACACGCTTCCTTAATCTGTTAAACAAATCAAATCGTCAACTATTCTAAGATTATTTGACCTCAGGAAGAAGCTTTTTGAGTGTACAGCATAAAATCGAACTAAACCAGAATCAAATTTCATATCTAGGAAGCATTTAACATCTAGTCCATTTTTCATTCCATCTGTAATAGGATGGTAATAATTTGTTATATCACTTCGTCAGTGTAGTAGTCTATATGAAAGATTACTACTTGTGCAGGTCTTTGATTTGTAAAATAATCTCTTTATATATTTTCCAAATGTACCGCTAATTGTTGTGCCGAAGCTTCAGTGCTGCTTTAAAGCATCGCTCTTGTTGCTGACGTCATCAAGTGTAGGTTGCTGATGTACAGCAATCATGGCTACATCTGATAGTTTATTTACATATTTACATACATATTTAACCAACCTGCTTATCTTTTAAAATTAATTAGAATAGTACGTTGTAATTCCTTTTTACCATTCAGTGGTATACATATTGCATACAAATATCTGAATTTAAAAAAAATTAAAATCATTTTCAATAATTTCAATGAAAGCACCGTGGTTGTAAGATCATGTCTATGAATGTCCCATGAATTAATTAATTATGAATTTCTTTCTTTTTAGAATTTCATGCAAATGTAATGAGTAAGGTCAACCGTAATTACCGACATATGACAGTCCTGAGTCCTTTCATGCATGAAACGGGTGGTGGGGGGGATGTCCGTTTTGGAGGCAAAATATAATTTCACTTCCGGCAATATCATTGTCAATTCCGTTTCACAAATGTATTTAAGAATCACTTCCTCGTTTTTTTTTTTTTTTTTTTGGTGATTTCCTATGTATGGTATTATTTCTGCTTCTATTTCTGTATATACATCCACTGTGGCCCAGTTAAACAGACTTAGAGGAAACAATCAATTCAATGAAACATTACATAGCTATAGGAAATATTTCCCCGCAAGAAGAGATTTTATTATTACGAAGTGATAGCCATTTTCTTCATTCAGAAAAAAATTGTGTCATATTTTAAACAATCATAAGATCGACGTATTTCTTTAATGAATTGAAGATAATTGTCTCAGTTTTTCAAGATAATGCCTCTTTTATAATGCTCATGCCCAGTTATAACCGCAGCGATTTCATTACAATGGGGGAAATTACATTGCCCGTCATTTTCTGTAGATGATCTTTTATCTTCGCCAATAATGATTTGGTACACTGTTTTGATTGACTCGTTTTCTACGATATCTGTCTATATTTCTGAGATGAGGTATTATGTACACTATTTACATTATTCGGACTATCGTCTTCATCTTTGTCGCCATATTTATTGCAACGTTTCGGCCTTTCAGTATCTGTGTATATTTCTGAGATTAGGTATTATGTACACTATTTACATTATTCGGACTATTGTGCTCATCTTTGTTGCCATATTTATTACAACGGTTTGGCCTTTCAGTATCTGTCTATATTTCTGAGATGAGGTATTATGTACATTATTTACATTATTCGGACTATTCTCTTCATCTTCGTCGTCATATTTATTACAACGTTTTGGTCTGTCTATATTTCTTACATGAGGTATTGTGTACATTATTTACATTATTCGGACTATTGTCCTCTTTGTCGCCATATTTATGGTTGCTGAAGACATTAGGTCTATAATACCCAGAAATTCGCACAAAGATGTCCTGAAGGATACATGGCGCAGTGGATAAAAGCGTTAGTTATATCCAGTGACAGGACCTAAAGAGTGTGAGTTCAATACCCGGCTAAGGGAAGTTAACAGGACATCCATTAAAACATGCCACGTGGAACTAGAACAGTCTACCCCAGTGAGCGAAATAAAGGGTTCAGTTCGACATTCCAAGCACATGAAGAAGGCCGGGGCGTACAACGGCCGAAACGTTGTGATAAATATGGCGGGAGATTTGTGTACTCCGTCAAACGCCACTTGTTCCTCCGAAACTGGACTTTTTCCCTGTACAGAGACACCCGCTCACTTGAAACTGTTTAAACCAGCGTCGAATGTTCTTAGGAGAGAGCAGATTAGTGTTTAATTGCCTTCGAAAAGTACGCTGCACCATGACAACCGTATTTGCTTTCACGAACTCGAGAACACAGAGCGCTTTTTGCTGAAGACTCGACATTCCGGAAGTAAGCAAACGGGGGCTGAACGTTGCCGGAGATACGACGCGACTACAGCGCCCCCTGTGGCAGCCATTCAAAACTTAGACAACTCCTCTTTCAAATGGTCACTGACTCATTACATGACAATGCTTGAGAACTGATGCAATGCGTCATGAAATAGGTTCATTTTTTTTAATAACCCTGTATGTATATATATATATATATATATATATATATATATATATATATATATATATATATATATATAAGAATAAATATATATATATATATATAAAATATATATATATATAAAAATATATATATATATATATATATTTTTCTATCTATAGCTGGGTGTTTTGATATATAAAAAACTATATATCGTTACCTCATATATATATATATATATATGAGATAGATAATATTAGTGGTCAATATATATATATATATATATATATATATATATATATAAATAAATGGTGGTACTCGTATGGAGAAACCTCTAATAGCTCAACTTGCAGCAGAACAAATCGATACCCGAGGAAATATGAGGAATAAAAAAAAAAGAGAAAGAAGCAAGAACATTAAACCAAGGCGAAAATAATCGTCCAGTGCTTTTTTGGGGGGTGGGGGTGGAGGGTCACGTGGTCATGGTTATTTTTGTTTTTAGCAATAAATACTGTTCAATAATTTTCCTTTTCAGCAAGCTTCTCTGTAGATCCGTTTAGGTGAAACCTAGGTATGTTTGTCTGCTCCTTAGGATTCTCTTTTATATATATATATATATATATATATATAATAGTAGTCAGTATATATATATATATATATTATGAAATGGACAAGGTCTGACAATTATTTTAAGACATTTTTATGTTTATACATTTTTATAGATACAAATATTAAAGTAAATGTTCTGTTTATAATAAACAGTATTAAACAACATTTACCCGTCTGAATGTCCGAGAAATTTTCATAGAAAATATTCGTTCTCCGGCTGGAATCGAACCTGTATCCTATACAGAACCGTCATTTAGCCTGGCGTGCCTTAACCGAACGAGCCACGGAGAATCGTTCAATTGGCAAGGTCGATGGAATTTATTCTCAATTTCTTTCTCTTTAAAATTTCATGCAAATGTAATGAGTAAGTCAAGTCAACCGTCATGGAAAGTTGAAGTTTAAAAACAGTAAAATCGACTGAGTATGAATATAATATAAAAGGCTCAAACATTAATATTCCATGGTTATAATTTATTACATTGGAATCGTAATCACGATCTAATTCATCAGACCTACAAATTCAAAAATAGGTCTCGCGGAGACTATTGATATATGTGCCGATGCCAGTTGATTTTAGTTTCGACGGCGTCATGTATAGGCAATTTGATGGTGTTTCAATGGCTTCCCCTTTAGTACCCATTTTAGCTAACATCTTTGTAGGGTTCCATGAAGAGAGTGTATTATGTAAATTTAATAGACCTGATGTTTACTTCCTTTCTGCGGATGACACTTTTTGTCTGTTCAATAACGAGGCTGAAGCGGACTCTTTTCTTACGTCCCTGAACAATATTCATCCAGTTCTTAAATTTACACAAGAAAAGGAAATTAATTCTTGATGTTTTGGTTAGCAGAAATTGTTCGGGTTTTCTTACTTTTGTTTATCGCAAACCGACGTTTACAGGTTCGTATACTCGTTTGGACTCTTTGTCCCGTAAAACGTAAAGTACATTTAATTAAGGCCCTTAAGGGCTTTAATGATCTGCTCTAAAACCAAGCTAGATGATTAATTCAAGTTTATTAATACCACTCTCTGTAACAATGCCTATCCGTTGGTCATTGTTCAGTCGGGAATTAAGAATAAAATTTCGGAATTTAATAAAGTTAAACTGGCTGAAGTGCAAAGATATCTTGTGTACCTGCGCCTTCCTTGGCTGAGTAGTATCAGTGATAGATATGCTAAGCAGGTTTCTTTACCAGTTCTACATTGTTACTTTACCGCTAACATTCGTGTAGTTTTTTCTGCCACACCTGTCCTTCAATCCACGTGGAAAGACGTTCTCCCTCCACATCATAATAGTTCTTTGATTTATTTATTTAAATGTAGTTGTGATTCGCACTACATAAGAAGAACGAATCAAAGGCTGGAGGTCAGAATAAAGCAACACATTCCAACAAAAATCCGCAACCTTAAGTATTCTCCGTCAGATATAAAAGTGAACAATGAAGTCAACAGTCAGAGGCGACAGGGTGTTTCATGCTAGGCGGAACCATTAGGCCTGACGATTGCGCCTAGCATGAAACTGCATGTTGCCCCTGACTGTTGACTTCAAAAGGGCTAGAAACAGACGCTGTTTCATAGAAAATCCCCAAAATTTAAAAAATTTTTTTAAATCACTAACAAACATCAAATTAAATTATTTGTAGACAGTCTAGAGACATTCAAATTTATATCAAACATTATAATCTTTATGAACCCCTAAAATAACACTTTCAAAGTAAAACAAAATAACAGCATCTGTTTCTAGCCATTTTTTTTTTTACAAAGAAAATTAGTGACATCTTCTCTCTTAACTTCCTTCTCTCTTTTTCTCTCTATGGATTTTTTCTTCTCTACCCCTTCGATATCAATATATAACTTCCGTTAAGTTAACCGTTTAAATGTGTCAATGTCTGCTAACTCACTCATGTCTTCTCTCTCCCCCCTCACTTCCTCACTTCGTTAATTTACATATGTTTAATACGGCCCGTCAAAAATGTGTAAATTTTCTTTTCATTTTTTTGTTTGGAAGTAAAGACTGATGATCCGCAGTTCTTTAAAAGCGCTGTGGGGAAATAATTTATTACATGGAACCTTAAAGTGGTCTGTTTCTATTTAAATTATTTGCTCTGGATTTACATTGAACTCTCTGCATTTTATCCTCTTTAGGTTTACCCATACGCATTACCTAGTTTTTCATAAACAATATATATATATATATATATATATATATATGTATTATAAAATTGCTGAATTTGAAGGCGAAAATTTACTCATTAATCTTGCAACTGATTTTGTGACTTCTGAATTAAATTGTGTTTTTGTTTTATCAATTCTCGCATAACCGATTATTAGAATGTTTAGCATTGCAGAGAATTGTTCTCAGTATTTAAGATCTCTAAATCAGTGATAAAGAATTAGAAGTTACCAGGGTAAAGACCAGTTAAGCAATTTTCATTAATTCAAAACGTTTTAGAAGAAATAATTATAAATATATTTTTGTGTTGTTTTTTTTTATTTTTACACACTCTTGATATTTGTGTTTTGTTTAATGAGTTTTTGTAGTGGAAACAGTTTCAAGTTTTTAATCAATTTCTTACTGACCTTGTCTTAAAATAGAAAGCAAGTCACCATTTTGTGGATTTTTATATAGTATGAGGCTGATGAAAAGTCCGATTGGGAATTGAAAATTGTGATATTTAAAAGAAATTGTACTGGAACAGGTGCAACCTAAGATTTATTTGCTTATTTTGAGGCTTTATCTTAAAAGTGCAAATTGACAGAATTTAGAGGTTTTTTTTTTAAGTTATTCTGAGGTTTTGTTTCACAAGTGGAAAATCTTGTTGGTTTTTGGTTTGAGTTTGATAAATATAAATGAGAAATTTTATAGGGTGTTTAGTTGTTTTGCCTGAAAAGAAATCTTTATTTGTTTATTGTTTTGCATTTTAAGTTTCGGATTAAGTGAATATTTCAAAAATAATTTTCAAGATTGAAAATAGCACACCAGGAAGAGTATTTTATCTCCTTTTGAAGATTTGTGAGAAAAATATAAATGAAATAAAAATTGTTCATACTTGTTTGACGCTTTCTCTAAGTAGTTCATATTGTAATATTTTAAAAAGTTCTTTAATTTCTATAGAGTATTCGCGTGGAATATCCAAATGTTTACGTTAAAAATATTTTTATACGTTTTATACGTTTTTCATTTTAAAACTAACTTTACTTGAATTTATGTATTTGTTTGAATAGGGGAAATTATTACTTTATAAGAATAGAATAAGTATTGTTTTAATGCTCAGTTTAGACAAGTCAAATTGTGATCTTTAAGAGTGTTTTGTTTTATTTTGTTTTGTCTGAAAGTGTGAACTTTAAGAACATTTTTTTTATATCTGATTTCATATTTGCCTGAAAAGAGAAATTAACTTCAATAATATATTTGTTATTCCGAGTTTTCGTCGGAAATTTGTAAATATTGACATTTTTCACTTATTGTAAAGCTATTTTTTCTAAACAGAAAATTGCGAATTGAATTTATTTATTTTTTTTTGCCGGCTTCGTTTCCTGAATGCAATCTTTAAATATTAAGAACATTTTGTTACTTGATTTTCTGTTTAACTTCGACAAATAATTTTTTTGAAATTTAATCTAAAATATTAAAATTGTGACCTTTTACTTTCTTAGTGCTTCGTCTGTAAAATATTAATTCTCAACTCTAACAGGATGTGAATTTGTTTTCATTGTTCGTAAAAAAAATTACAAATTGTGAGTGCTAACAGAATGTTACGTTTTAGAGAATTCATCTGAAAAACGCACATCCTGAACTTAGAGTTTCTTTTCTAATTTTGCCAATTGTTGTAGCATACCTACTGACCATAATGGGTATGTAACCATTCACATAAATGAAATAGTAAATACTGTATGTTGGTCTACAGTCGGAGATTTGTCTCCAGCTGTGCTGGTCAAACACTCTGCCTCCGGGAAGAGAGGATGCCAAGATGAGGCTATGTCAAAGGGCAGTGGCGTCTCGGGAAACAGCTACCCGACACCCTTTTATACGGGGTCTATGGGGAATTTTTAGCTCTGATAACCCACATTAAATTCGGCCTTGTGCCACATCTAACCGCGTGGGGCGGTTGGTAGATATCCTGCAGTTGGAGATTCGTCTCCAATTGTACTGATCAAACTCTCTACCTTCGAGCAGTGAGGATCTCCAGACGAGGCTATATCGAAGAGCAGAATTTCGTCTCGGGGAAACTGCTATCCATTTTATACGCGGTCTACGGGGAAATTTTGCCCGAGCCTACGGGTTCGGATACTTCACATTAAATTCGGCCTTGTGCCACATCTGAACGCATGGGGCGGTTGGTAGGTATCCTGCAGTTGGAGATTCATTGTGGAATTCACTTGACTCACTTCTAGCAGGTGACTACTTCTTGTACGCGCCGCTGGCGAATCTTATATATGTTGTTCTTGTCCTAAATATTATCTTTCATTACCAACCTTCGTGTGATTATTCTATTCAGTATCTTTCCCTAGGTTACAAAACCAATTCATCTGAAAAGGTAAATTATGAAATCTCAGTAGATTTTCATTTCTGTTCAGGTTATTTTTTTATGTTTTTATTTTACATTGTCTGAAAAACGAAAATTCTGGCCTATAATTTTTATTTATTTCAGGTTGAAATGAATGTTTTAGTCGTTTTTAGTTTTCTTAAAATGCAAATAATTACATTTAGGAGAATGTGTTTAGTTGTCTTGAAGCTTTGTATGAAAAAATAATGATTGTCAACATTAATAAATTTTTAATTGAAAATTTAAAATTGTGATTTTTAAGATTATCTATTTATCTATCTCGTAAGTATTATCGTTCATTTCCAACCTTGGCGTGATTATTCTATTCAGTAACCTTCTCTAGGTTACAACACTATCTATCTATCTATCTATCTATCTATCTATCTATCTATCTATCTATCTGTGCAGGATTCCATTCACGGAATCCTGCACAAATAACTAAAAAACGCCAGTAACTGAGATGGAAAAATAAGTGTATTAAACGTAAGAATACAGACTTGTAGTGAAGATTAATAGTACAAGAAAGCGGGTTAATAGAAAGTATATGTACAAGTCTCTGTAAGTAAAGCGGTAATAATTTCTCTCTCTCTCTCTCTCTCTCTGGGCTCTTGTATAACTCTCCGAGAACACCTTGTGTCTGTCTCCGTATCTCTCAACGTATCTCAACAGCAGGTATTCTCTCTGTCAGTATAAGTATACTTTGGACGAGTCCATCTTATGCAAAAAGGGGAGAGATCCACAACACTATCTATCTATCTATCTATCTATCTATCTATCTATCTATCTATCTATCTGTTATACCTGACGTACCTATTCTATTATTAATAGACTCTCCCACACATAATAAGTAGTAGTAGTAGTAGTAGCGGTCGACAGTTGGGCTCAGTGGTGTTGAGTGAGTCAGTAGATGTCGGATATTGAAGTATTAACCTTCACAACTAGATTGCTGCGTCATTAACTCTTATTTCAAATTCCTAACGTTTTGTACGTCGAACCTTTTAGGACCGACTTAGTGAAGTACAAGCCTCCACTGTGAAAAACTACTCTACAACACTATCTATCTAAGACTATTCATTCATTCATCTATCTATCTATCTATCTATCTATCTATCTATCTATCTATCTATCTATCTATCTATCTGCAAAGATTAATAGAACAGTATATTTTATAAGGCGAAATGAAATGCGTATATGTGGTAAGATTCTCAAATATCTTGAAGAAAAATTTTCCATTTTGAGAAGCCAATGAACATAATGTGTACTCGTATTTTTTTTTTTTTATTTCATGGTAAAAAAATGCCGAATATCTGTAACTTCACGACCGGATGCAAAAATACTTACATTTACGAGTGATTGTCAGCGAGGAAGTGAGCAGCTGATACGTATCCAGTTAAAATTTAACTTTCATCTAACAATAGTTTAGACTCATTAATTATTTACTTACTTTTTTATATAGAAAAATTATTTAATATTATCAGATCTGTAAATAAACAGGTTTTTACAAGTATAACGCTTTATTGTTGCTGGTGATATTCTGATTTAAGTGGTAATTATACCGGAAGTGATTAGGTTGAGATATTTTTAATTTAAAATTGTTTCTTCCTGTACTTGTTATCTCGGCTTATCACATCAATCAAATATCAACATTTAATTTATCAACCAATTAACAACAGTGTAAAACACGAAGTTTGGTAAACAAGCAAAAGGTCTACAAGAGAGCTGCTGCTTGTTTTATGAGATAAATCTTAAAATGGTGTAAACAAAGAACAACCTAATTATTTTATGAACATCAAGACTTTTAGAATCTCTTCCTTTTTTTTACTACATCTTTGTTTAATGCGTCTTTGAAAATAAATGCAAAAAATGAATACATTTTTGACAGCGACGTGTGAAATCAGTCATTGTGAAAATATGCGAATGTCAACCTATTCAATTTATATGCAGATTTCGACCTGATCATGTGTTGGTTTTGATCGACATGAGGATTTACAATGTTAAGTATTATCTTATCTTCAGTTTTGTCTTCCCCCACAGTTATTTTGGCGAGATTGTCCAGAAAACGTTCTTAATTGAAACAGTTTATATATTGTTCTATTTCTTTTCGAATGTGTCCTCAAGACGATTTGCTATAAAACATGTAGATATTTTATTGCCGTATTTCAGTGCGATAAAAATGAATAAAAGACGATAATTTTCCGTCGCAAAGTCCATCATGTCAAACTTCTTGATGAATTTTAATGATGGAAATAAAGAAAGTCTGGAAAAACACTATTAGCTTGAGTTTTATGTATAAATACGAATGTATGTGGGAAGGGAATAAGGCGAATGGGTTATCGGGATGGAAAGATTTATTTTGCTTAAGATTACGTTCCATCAACAGATTTTTGTAAAGATGAGGTCACTAGAATAGTGCAGTCTGGTCAGAGACAATTTCCTTCCGAAGAGAAGGATAACAGCGCTGAATGCCTTTGCCTTAAAATATTAATAAAGACAACCCAACGATATTTGGGTTTTTATTACTATATTATAGGCGGCCCCCAGTTCGTCGGGTTTTCCTTATTACTATATTATAGGCGCCCCCACAGATCGTCGGGTTGTCTTTATTACTATAATATAGGTGCCCCCACAGATCGTCGGGTTGTCTTTATTACTATATTATAGGCGGCCCCACAGATCGTCGGGTTGTCTTTATTACTATATTATAGGCGGCCCCACAGATCGTTGTTTTCTTCATTACTATATTATAGGCGGCCCCCAGATCGGAGGGTTGTCCTTATTACTATATTATAGGCGGACCCAATGATCGTCGGGTTGTCTCTATTACAATATTATAGGCGGCCCCACAGATCGTCGGGTTGTCTTTATTACTATAATATAGGCGGCCCCACAGATCGTCGGGTTGTCTTTATTGCTATATTATAGGCGGCCGCACAGATCGTTGTTTTGTCTTTATTACTATATTATAGTCGTTCCCAGTGATCGTCGGGTTGTCTCTATTACTATATTATAGGCGGCCCCACAGATCGTTGGGTTTTCTTTATTACTATATTATAGGCGGCCCCCAGTTCGTCGGGTTTTCTCTATTACTATATTATAGGCGGCCCCACAGATCGTCGGGTTGTCTTTATTGCTGTATTATAGGCGGCCCGACAGATCGTCGGGTTGTCTTTATTGATGTATTATAGGCGGCCCGACAGATCGTTGGGTTGTCTTTATTACTATAATATAGGCGGCCCCACAGATCGTCGGGTTGTCTTTATTACTATATTATAGGCCGCCCCACAGATCGTTGTTTTCTTCATTACTATATTATAGGCGGCCCCCAGATCGGAGGGTTGTCCTTATTACTATATTATAGGCGGCCCCAATGATCGTCGGGTTGTCTCTATTACAATATTACAGGCGGACCCACAGATCGTTGTGTTGTCTTCATTACTATATTATAGGCGGCTCCCAGATCGGAGGTTTGTCTTCATTACTATATTATAGGCGGCCCCCAGATCGGTGGGTTGTCTTTATTACTATAATATAGGCGACTCCACAGATCGTCGGGTTGTCTCTATTACTATATTATAGGCCGCCCCACAGATCGTCGGGTTATTTTTATTACTATATTATAGGCGGCCCCACAGATCGTCGGTTTGTCTTTATTACTATATTATAGGCGGCCTCCCAGATCGTCGGGTTGTCTTTATTAATATATTATAGGCGGCTCCCCAGGTCGTCGGTTTGTTTCTATTACTATATTATAAGCGGCCCCACAGATCGTCGGGTTGTCTTTATTACTATATTATAAGCGGCCCCACAGGTAGTCGGGTTGTCTCTATTACTATATTATAAGCGGCCCCACAGATTGTCGGGTTGTCTTAATTACTATATTATAGGCGGCCCCAATGTTCGTCGGGTTGTCTTTATTACTATATTATACGCGGCCCCACAGATCGTTGTGTTGTCTTTATTACTATATTATAGTCGTTCCCAGTGATCGTCGGGTTGTCATTATTACTATATTATAGCCCCCCCCCAGATCGTCAGGTTGTCTTTATTACTATATTATAGGCGGTCCGACAGATCGTCGGATTGTCTTTATTACTATATTATAGGCGGCACCACAGATCGTCGGGTTGTGTTTATTTCTATAATATAAGCGACCCCACAGATCGTTGTGTTGTTTTTATTACTATATTATAGGTGTCCCCACAGATCGTCAGGTTCTCTCTATTACGATATTATAGACGCTTCCCTCCCCAGATCGGTGGGTTGTCTTTATTACTATATTATAGGCGGCCCCGCAGATCGTCGGGTTGTCTCTATTACTATATTATACGCGCACCCACAGATCGTTGGTTTGCCTATTACTATCTATAGGCCGTCCAACAGATCCTTGTGTTGTCTTTGTTACTATATTATAGGCGGTACGTCTATACAAACGACAGCCTATATTGATATGGTGGCTCTTCGATTTGTTAAACAGGTATGATTATCGCTCATGTTTGCTTAATTTTTTGGTCCTTAGAACCACAATGGCTAAGAAAATGACATTCAATGCCTATGACAGATGGGACAATTTCCTTAAGATGGCTCGTAGATTTTCATGTGACGGGTGAGACTGTAGCTGCTCCTGTAGGTTTTCTTATAGACCCTGGATGTTAGGTCATTTCTAATGTAGTACTGATCGTAATTTATCAAAGGTCTACCCATATGACTCTTCTCGTGGTTAAATGAAACTTGCATTGGAGAGACACTCATTGATGGGTTGCTGGTTCAATGATTTTCCATTTCTTAGCTGTACACTTGAAACTTAACTCATTGGATGTTCTTGGAAGATCTTAGTGTTTTCATGAATTGTACGCCTCGGCTTATTTCGTCTACAAGCAATAATTTCCCACTCAGAGATTCATTGATTTATGCAGGCGTCGAGTTCCATAGAATAACTCGCCGTAGAGTATTTGTTTGGGTATTCGTCTAGGCGAATGACATGCTTGTCTGGCGTGTGGGTTATCCAGTCGATACTAAAAATAGTTCTTAAACAGCATCGGTAGAATATATCCAGGGTGTTTGCGGTTCACAACCCATGTCACACAGTAGTACAGGAGGCACGTCTGCACACATGCGTTGTAGATTGCCATCTTTGTGTATTTCATATGTCCTATCTGAGACCAGACGCAATCGTTTAGAACTGCAAAAGCGTTAATTGCATTTTTCTCATCATCAAGAGTGCAGTATCTGTTTTAGTGCTCCAAGGGTATGTGAATTAGTCTACTACTTTCAGATTTTAGCTAACCGTAAATATCAACGGTTCAATAAGTGAATCCGGAATAAGATGGAATATGACTAGTGTCCAGTCCAGACTAATAAAAGTGGAGAGTTTGAAAGAACGGTAAAAATTATGCTTCTGAGCCTGAATTTCCTGTTCTGTTTTGGTAACAAAGTCACTGTTCTCGACAAACAGAACGTTTCGGACAAGACCCTTGAATGTTTTAGAAGAGCAGCGTCGGATGTTGAACTTTATCAGTGGTACGATATGGAATCTATATACATCCTGGTCACAGTCCTTAAAAGCATGGAGAAAACAAGGGAATAAAATGAAGAAAACATTGTCGTTGCTATAATGTCACCTTGCTCGAAACCAGTTTGTACTTTGATGATTGTTGAAAGTAAACCATCAAAGTTATTAGAAATCTCTATGTCATTAGAAAACAACTGAATAATGTCTAAGAAATGGCTAGGACAACCAAAACGCCTCAATATCATTCACATAATTTCTATGTTTACAGTGTCGACGGTCTTGGTAATATGTACGAAGAACTGTAATAGGCATTATTGTTTGTCATACGATTTCTCTTCGCTATGAAATTCATATTCTATTATGCCGTGACTCTGGAAGCAACATATCCACGATATGAAAATTCAGTCGAGATAGCAAAATCCCCATTCTGATTTTACACTTTGGCGAAAGTAAAGCTATACCATGATAATGTCCACACAGTTCGGATATATTTTTGCCTTTGTATAATGGTATCAGGATAGCTTCTCTCCAATACATTGGAACTCTCCAAGAATCCCAGATGTTCAGGATGATTTTAAGCATTATATCAGCCAAGTGATTACCACCATACTGTAGAATTTCAGCAAAGATGACTTTCTTTCCGATATTCTTCCCCATGTTCAACTTGCCGATATATGCTGTTAGTTCCTCCAATGTAGGGAAGAATCATTTCCTAGATGGGTCTTTGCTGAAAGTGGCTAAGAACAGATTGGTTTATATAGCTATATCCGTGGTAAACAAATCTCTCTTTTACTGATTTCCACCATGCTAGGAAAGAGATTTGTGATTTATTTGGATCGAAGAGGCGTTATTAAGGATATTCATAAGTCAAGTGTCGTTCTTTTCCCAAAAACTGCTTTGAGCAATGAAATCTTCCTGTTTTTAATTGTATTTCTATTTATTGGGTGATCGTGGGGAGTCCTTTCTGTAGAATGTTCTCTCTCTGTCTGTGTCTGTCTCTCTGTCTCTCTCTCTCTCTCGTGTTTTGTTCTTATTTGAGAGAATATCTTTAATGACTGGGACGTTTTCATCAAACCATTCACTTTTAGCAGGAACTAACTCCTGAGTTTATTTCGTCGCATTGTAGATCTGATCATTAGCTTTTTTTTCCCATTATTTACATTATTCGGACTATTGTCCTCATCTTTGTCGCCATATTTATTACAACGTTTCGGCCCTTCAGTATCTGTCTATATTTCTAAAATGAGGTATTATGTACACTATTTACATTATTCGGACTATTGTCCTCATCTTTGTCGCCATATTTATTACAACGTTTTGGCCGTTGTACGCTCCGGCCTTCTTCAGGTGGTTGGAATGTCGAACTGAATCCTTTATTTCGTTCACTGGGGTAGACTGTTCTAGTTCGATGTGCATGTTTAATGGATGTCAGTGGAGAACTTTCAGGGGGAAGTTATCTCCTGTTAACCCCCCTCCCCCCGAAATTTTCCATTGCCTTAACCGGGTATTGAACTCACACTCTTTGGGTCCTGTCACTGGATCTAACCAACGCCTTTATCCACTGTGCCATGTGTCCTTGAGGACAGTGAGTGAAATTAAGGGTTCACTTCGACATTCCAGCAACCTGAAGAAAGCCGGAACGTACATCGGCCGAAACGTTGTAATAAATATGGCGACAAAGATGAGGACAATAGTCCGAATAATGTAAATAATGTATATAATACCTCATCTCAGAAATAAAACAGATACTGAAGGGCCGAAACGTTGTAATAAATATGGCAACAAAGATGAGGACAATAGTCCGAATAATGTAAATAATGTACATACCTCATCTCAGAAATATAGACAGCTTTTTTTTCCATATAGTGTTATTAACTTAAGTTTCGATTCGAGTTTGTAGAGCGTGTCGAGTGTCTTGGGTATAGAATTTATTGCAAAGTCCGAGCGTTTTGATGACGTCACAGTAGTGCTATTTCGAACAATTGGCTTAATGACCAAATCATTTTGGTACGTACAAATGCATAGTCTGCCTAACAGCCCACATCTACATTGCAGACATTCTGCAGATGCCTACCCTGGTTGAATTCATGTTCTTATATGGTCACCTTTATGCTCAAATTGTATATTCGCAATATAAACCTGAAAATCCTCCCAGCTTAAGAAGCAGGTGACGGTTGCTTGTCATTTTATTTGTTCCGTATCTCCCAGGCAACTCCAGGTCACGTGGTAGCCCGCTCGAACGTGATTCGTTCGTACAGCAAACAATACATTCGTCACCAAAGACTTTTCACTTTGACCGTCATCAGAGAAGCGAGTTCTTCTTCTTCTTCTTCTTCTTCTTCTTCTTCTAATCACTTTCCTATTATTCTATGTGAAATAATGGATGGTTTTTCTTAGAATATCATTAAGCATATTAAATTTAGAGAACTTTTTTGTGTAGATGAGTGGTTGTCAAACAGTGAGCGCTTTCCTGGGATTTTCTTTGGGTGCATCAGTATTTTTTAACCATTTGTCTTTAAATGCCACATTTTTGCAATATTTATTTTTAGGATCTTATAATTTGAAAGTTTGTCAAATCCTTACGCTGAGACAGCCCGTGTTTTTTCTTAAGTCTTCAATAATAATAATAATAATAATAATGATAATAATAAGGCTACCCGATATATAAATTCGTTAATATATCACGCATTTATCCTAACACACAAAAATGGCACAAAATGATGTGACTGCAGCCGCAGTAGAAGTGGTGTTTCTTGAGCAAGATGGCCTGACGGAGCCCAGGCCAGTTTTGTTCAGAGTTTTTTCCCTCTCCTAGACTGGTTCCACCCAAGGCTATAGAACCGAGTCTGTCTTGCTATTTACCCATAGCTGGCCGGGAGAAGAAGAGGATTTATACCTTTTCCCAACGGTATTATCACGTAAGTGAATGTAATGGATCCGACTAGAATTCGAACTCGGCTCTCCGATTCCTCGATCTGAGCCACTATCCATTATTACACCATAGCGCCCCAGAGCTCATACTGATAGATAAATCGACCTGACATACTTGGGAAAATCATGCTGAGATGACATTTCTTTTCATTGATTTTCAGCGTCAGTCGACAAAAGAATCTTTTGCAAACCTTTGTTAAGCTAAATCAGTAGAAGGACTTCCAGATAAATATCAGTAGAATGTGACATTTAAAGGCAACAACATTATTTCTTATTGTTGTTAGACGTTTTGGAATTATATGAAAAAAATATGTGGAACAAATCTCTGATATTCCTAAATGTGTGAAAAAATCCTACCCATGTCAATTTCGTATATCTTAGATTTCTCTTACGCACAGTAAGCACAATTAGATCTTTTCTCTTTGCATAGCGCCTGTTATCATCCTATGACAAAAAAAAACTCTTAGAGACTTTGGAACGATTCATACTAAATATATCAAAGGCCAACCTCAACAACAATAACAAAATAATAACAGAGAAATTTAGTGTTAACCAAATCATCGCTAAATCAATATCAAGTTATATTTTTACTTATAAATACTATTGAAGTTTTAATAGCAATTTTAAATTGAATGTTATCATAAGCGTTTTAGTTGTTTTTTCTTTAGTTTTCTAAGTGTTTTGGTTCAGGGAAAAGATAAAGAGATTCTTAAAAGAAGAAAACGTGAAAAACTTCTTCGTCGAAATGGAAAACAATTACAGATCCTGGAATACTAACAATTTATTTACACTTTATTTTACACTTCTATATTTTTAGTTGAATTTAAAGTTACTTAACCGATTGCAATTGCATTAAATAAATATACATCTTATAAGGGAAATAAGTTTCGTTGGGCACCTCTGAAATTTGCATTATTCGGACTATTGTCTTCATTTTTGTCGCCATATTTATTACTTCTTCAGATGGTTGGAATGTCAAACTGAATCCTTTATTTCGTTCACTGGGGTAGACTGCCACGTGCCATGTTTAATGGATGTCAGTTGTCAGTTATCTCCTCTTAATTCCCCTCCCCAAGCTCTTTACTGCCTTAACCGGGTATTGAACTCACACATTTTGGGTCCTGTCACTGGATCTAACTAACGCCTTCACCCACTATGCCATGGGTATTATAAACCTAATGCCTTCAGCAAACATTTTTTTACCAGTGCTCATATTGCAATTTTTGCTGTTGTCATTTCATTTTTTTTACCAGAGCTCATATTGCAATTTTTGTTGTTAAACAGATACATCTGAAATTTGTTGGTCATAGAAGTGACGAAATGACACTACTTTGAATGATGACATTTGGAAAATTGATTTTCTTGCGCTGAACGAACTCTGTCTTGCCGAACAACACAGCTATAAGAAGCGTTGAAATGTGTTTAGAAATAACAATTAGTATTGATTTTTTCTATAATTACTATAATATTAAATATATTAATTGCTTTTATGAAATTGCCAACCAGCAAATTAATCGATTTGAACTGATATTTTGTCAAATTTTTGTGTTTGTGAAAAATCATGAATGAAAACTTTTTTTTTATTTTGTTTTTTTTTTTCAGTTAGCATATACTGAAGAAACATAACAGCAAAATTTATTTTTAAGTCACAAAGATTTATAGAAATGATAAAAAAGATTTATGAGTTTCGAAGTCCCTGTGAATGAAGGAATTCGATGTTAAAATAAGAGATATGGAGTTATGAAGTTTCAGCATGAACCGTGTGTCTCATGTGACTGAGGTTGTAAATGGCGGGAAGAAATTTGGTGGAAGAAATTCATTCAGTTATTTTTGTGTTAAAAAATGAAAGTTGAAGATTAGACTTTATATATCGTGAACATTTTTCTGTCAGGTGTGATGTTTTGATACAGTATTACTCTAGATGATGATGATGATAACGATTATTATTATTATTATTATTATTATTATTTAATACATTTTTTGATTAAACGGAACAAAGAAAAAAAAACAGACAAGAGAGAGGGAAAATACATTCAGAATGTAAGCAGCAAGAGTAAGGAAATAGAGATAATAGAGAATTTGGTGCTAGAAGTAACGCGAAAAATGGAAAGAATATTGGATTTAATAAAGAGCAGAACTAAAGAAAGACCTCAGTCAGTTATGTGCCATGCCATTGTCACTAAACCAAGCTGCATTTTGTTTATTTATTAACTTTGATTATTTCAGCTTGGAGGCAGAAAGAAATGGCAACCTACTGCGGGAAAAAAATCTGCCTCGTCAGTCATGTATCGAAAGATACATGATCACCTAAGCGTGTATCCCGCATGGCACATAACTAACTGAAAGAGAGAAGCATATGTATATTATAGAAATATATAATGCGAGAAGTAATGAATGCATATAGAATATAATGGAATAACAGAGAAGTAAAAGAGTTGATGCTGAGTACCCTATTGAAGAATGCCGGGTGTAAGAGAAAGAATACAAAAATTAAAAAAGATGAGCAAAATAAGGCGTGATAGAAAATGAAGTTTGCATCATTAAATATAAGGCGAGTAAGAGAAAAACGCAGTTAGAAAATGCGGAGAATAAAAATAGAATGCAAAATGGAATAGGTAAAATGCAGGACTTAAAAGATAGAATGGAAACATCAAAAGAAGAAATTGCAGAATGCAACATAAAAAAGGTAGGATTAAGCTGAAAATGCAATGAGTTTCAAATAGAATGCAAGGTGTAAAAATAGAATGCACGCATGCTGAAATAATTAAAGTGAATAAATAAACAAAATGCAGCTTGGTTTAGTGACAATGCACGGACTAAAAATTGCAGAGTAGAACAGGAATGAATGAAAAAGCATTAAAGTGAATAAAGGCAGGAAGAATGGATGTAATATGAAAGGCAAGGAATTAAGTAGGATTTGCAAAAATCCCCATGGAGAAGGAAGAGGCTAACAAATAAAGTGCAGGGGAGAGTAAAAAACGATGGTGAGAGAAAAAGGAAAAGGAAGAGTTAAACCGAGAAGGCAAATAGTATAGAGCCAATTGTAGAGGGTTTATTGAATGCACAGAACAAGAGTTTAATATAGAAAGTGAATTGCGTCACTGAAAAAAGGCAAAGGGAAATGCAGAGAACAGATTCAGTTGTGAACGCATGACAGAAAGACTCAGAAAACTAAGAATACAGATAGGAGCAGAGAAAATTCAAAGAGTAAAGGGAAAGAAAAGAGAGAATTTAGAGTGCAAACTAGATAACAATGGAAAGAATTGTGTGAATGTATGAAATACCAGTGAAAAGGAACGGGGTTAGTGTTTAGAAAACCATGAGGAAACTTTTGTGCATGAAAGGAAAAACAGAAGGACAAAAAGAATACAGAGATGGAAATTACAAACATGAGAGAGAACGTAAAGGGCGGCTAATACACTGATATTTACAAGAGTGCGTTTTCACACACACGCACACACACACACGCACACACACACATACACACATATATATCGTCATATGTGTACTATATATATATATTGGTATTTAAACACCTGTATTGGTTTTGATCGAGAGAATCTGGGAGTGTGTGGAGATGTAGGCAAGCATTCGTATACACAGGTAAAATATCTCTATGTGCGCATATATATAGATATTTCTGCATAACTAGTCACAGGTATTTGAGGATATCCCTCTACTAGAGCGGCTAGCTAATCCCTGTTGCAGACGCTCGCCCAGGCACATTTGTGTTTATTCAACACCCACAGAGCCCACTTGTGGTTTATACTGCAATTATACTGAGCAGACCGTAGTTACACTTTCTGGGAAAGAGCGTGTTATCTAGCGTGATCAACAATTTGAACAAGGCCAGCACGCTCAAGCCCTCAGCCACGATGACTTGTGGCTTTGTGCTAGCACAGTTATTGACGGCCCCCAAAGGTTACGTCATCCAATTTCACTCACAAGGCTTGGGTCAAACCGTGGTATTAGTTTTCAGGCACTTCCTAAAGGTGTCGCACACTGGGATCGACCACTCCTTTTCCATAAAATCATAATTCCTGAGTTCCTAAGATTCATAACCAGGCCTCATATTCAGAAATGCGAACGTTTTAACTATAAGCCTATATATATATATATATATATATATATATATATATATATATATATATATATATATATATGTGTGTGTGTGTGTGTGTATGTATTGTAACTATAATTTGTGTGCATGTGCCTCCGAATATTTACTTTTGTATCTGTAGACATATATCTAAAGAATTTATGGATTTATTTTAATCCAACATTTTTATTACTTCAAACATCCTTTTTTAGTGGAATGACTGATATAATGAAATGTCGGATTAAAACTTAATCCAATAATTCATTGCAAATCGTTTTGTTTATGTTTGGCATGCGAAACTAGTCAGATATAGGTCTTGACGAATAAATGAACGAGGAGTT